CAAAGCAACAGATTCCATATCACAAAAGCATTTTGCCTAAAGGTATTCCTAGTCCAAGTGCAGTCATTGATACAGTCAGGTCCTCCGACAGGCCAGGGCTTATTAAAATTATTAAATCCCACCCTACTGCAATATGATGCCAAAAGTAAGTAAATTACTGCAACTCTTCAAAGAGTCCCAGTTTCTCATACTGACCTTATGAAACTGATCAGCTACATTAACAGGCATCCTGGCATCTCATCTCTTGCTCTTTACCTCATCCCTACTCCCTCCCTTACTAGCTGTTTCAGATGAGGATAAGGCAGAAACAGAAGCATGGGGTACAAGTAGGAAGTTATTAGAGGACAGCATGACAGAGGAAACTCAAACTTTCCCTGTCAAAACAATACAACCAAGTGTCTATCTCCAGTAACATATATGCACATGGCATAGGAAACAAACACAAGCTAGAAATTCATGTTCAAATATGACCTTGCTGGGATCACATGGGAGACATAACAAGATACCTCACACACCCAGAGTGCAGCCACAAATCTCTGAAGGTGAGGAAGTAGGGTTCTGCTCTATGTAAAGTTCAAATGTATTATGCATAGCCTTGTTATCAGTGATGGGCAAGTTGTGAGCTACGGGTAAGAATCGGAGGACAGAGAAGTATGGGTAACACTATTTTGGGCATCTTCTGCAGAACATCTGGTAAATAAGAGGAAATAGATGAAGCCTTTTTCAGACAGCTATAAGAAGCCACATGATTTGTGCGATGTGTTGACTTTGAAAGAGATTTTTATCAGAGACATAGAGGCTGATACTGGGACAAGATTATCCCTTGCCAGTTCTTTTCAAAGACCTCAATATTGTTTCTGTGTGCATGTGTGGTTTTCTGGTGTTTTGTTGGTTGATTTTCTTGTGAAATCTCTAGTTATTCTCTTGATTTCTGCTCAGAGATCTGAGAGCACTCATATATATATGGAGATCTAAGTTGTGCACACAGATTACATAAACAGAGCAAACAAACTTCACAAGAGTAAGCAGAAATGCATAATTACTTTCCTGCAGTCCCACAGCACGCTAGTGTCAATATCAGAGATAGAATTCAGATTTCTCCTTGTAAGTCCTGTGCTGAGCTTCCTAGATCATGTTGCCTTCTTCCATTTTCACACAAAGTACAGAACAGTCTGACTGACAGGCAGGCTGCACTCCAAGAAAACACAGACACATGCAGAAAGACAAACTCTTCTGCCTACATTATGAATTGAATAGGCACAAGAAGTCTCTGGCTCAAACCATGAAGCTCTCTGAGCTAATAACCTAAGCTTACAAGAAGAAAGTGCCAGCTTGCCAACATCACAGTAATCTTGCTGAAGAAATGAACTATCTTGCATCTGCCCCATTTAGAGCAATAGCAGAGCTATCTATATCTATTCATAAAGACATATATATCTGAGAAACATTGCATTTCTGCATTGCAATGAGGATTTGTAAAGCCCAGGGCCCAGTAAATCTGTCATACGCTCCACCTATTTTATTTATCTCACCACATACAGTCTAAAGCATGGTTAACTGGGCATTTCCTACATAGCTGCAGCAAAGGAATGATTCTTTCCCCCATATTTATTCAAGAAAAGCTCTACAAGAGTTAATTAGGCTTCAACAAATGCTATCCATATTTTGAATTGGTAAAATTTTGTCAGAAGAAATATTGTTTCCAGTTTGAATACTACCTTTGCTTAATGCATATCTAAAATAAGTGTAAGAACTAAAAACAAATTAAGGAATAAGTAAAGGAATGCAAGTCATTAGCAAATTCTTATATCTCAAAAATTATATATGCAAGAATAACAGTACTGAATGAAATAGCTGCAGATTGGAGGACTCCAAGTCAGAAGTACCAACATAAAAATAGTTTGCTGAAACACCTTCCAACACCTTGGATATTTGCAAGCTTCTGTCATCAACAACTATTTCCATTTGTCATACAATGCAATGTATCTTTATTAAAAGCTTCAAAACAATAAACATTTTGCAAATATTGCAGATATATCTTCGGACTAATGGACAAATACAAGTCTACATTTACTCAAATGTTCAGCAAATAAATATAACTTTGTCTCTAAACAAACATATCTGCTAGCATTTATCTTTCATACATGTTTGCAATGACACACTTATTAAAACAATATTGAGTCTATACAGAGAAAACTTTGGCTCTCATCATGCTCTAGAGACTACCAGATAAAAAATGCTGCTTCTGCTTCCAGCATTTTAACAAGTCTTAAACATTCTCTGCTATCTCACATTTTTTCATCATAGGAGAAAAAAATTCCCATGGCAAATATAAATAAATAAATTTTAAGAAGGGGATATTTTACCAGCCAGCGCATAAAATCAGGTGTTTTTGCACTATGCTTGATAATAAAAAAGCACAGAATTCAGTTATACATACTCTAAGCACTGCTACAGTGCTGTAAAATAAAGAAAGTTCATTGACTTTGGAGATTAAGTCTGTCATTAATTCAAAGCTCAATTAATTGTAGAATCCAGACAAAAGGTCGACTCTTCATTCCTATTTATGTTAAGCAGAAATTACTTGAGCAGGAAGTTCCATTGGTTGTAATGGGTGAACCCACATGAGAAAGGGTTGTAAAACCACGAAACCAGGGGAAACAACTCAGGAGCAAATAGAAGATTAACACTGTAACTATCTGACAATTACATTGTCATCTGAAGCCTCCATTCAATGATGAATAAGAAAAAGTATTTTTCACAGAAAAAATTCTAATTCACTTTAGATTGCTTTGGGTTTTTTCATGGTTGTTTCACGTTAACAATTTCATAGTTTCTTCACAGATTCTAAATTTCAAATTTGTAAGCATTAGTATCCTTCACCAGCATTGTTTCATTGGTTTTCTAAGTTTGCAAAGTGCATGACAATTTGGCTTTGCTTCAAACTCGCTTTTCTTCAACTTTTATCACCACAACCACCTTCCAGCATCCCCTATCCTATGCTAAAAGTCCTAGACAGAGAAATAGCCTCCTCCTACTAACTGACACACAACAATCTCTGTGAAATGCAAAAATGAAAACTCCTGCCTAATTGTGCTAGAACACATAATGATTGGTGATGGCCATTCTTCCCAGCTCCGTATAAGGACACATTTCTGAACCTTTATCCACTCCACCTCTACTCTGATAGGTAGAATCATAATGCATTTTTCCATTCTGGCTCAGTGCTCCCTTTCTTTGTCAAAGGGAATCATTTATGTGTTCCTGCTTCAGGAAAACAGAATCATGCAGAAGAGCTGCTGGCTTAAACACAATTTTTTTTCTGTCTTGCTGGTGTATCAAATATCTTTCCATTGATATCAATAACAATAGAAACCTAAGCTATAGAAAGAAGAGGAATATGAGCAACCCTGCCTGTGACAAAGGGGTTGGAACCTGATGATCCTTGAGGTTCCTTCCAAGCCATTCTACGATTCGATCATTCTATGACAACAGCAGAACCACAGTTCCGCCTAGTGGGCTGTAGGGAAGAGCCAGGACAAGGAGAAAGAAACCACTGGTGGCAGAGATGAAGCAGACTATTTATTGGGTTAATTTCCTGCAGGTACATAGCTTCCAAAAAAAGCAAAATATTAAACTGCAACTACACTTTACTGTAATCCAGATTTCTTATGGTCATAAGAAGAAGCAAAGCAAAAGAAAAAAGAAAACAAAAAGAAAATACCTTTGTTACAATCAATTACAGGGTAGGAGGAAAGCTACAAGAAAGTAGATTTTGAGACAAGAAAAACTGAAAACTTGGAGAAAAGTCAAGCTTAACAAAAAGTTGTAAGCATAATTACAGGAAGATCATGCTCACATAAAGAAGATGGTCTCAAAAACTTAGTGGTATTTGAAGGCAGAGGCCAAAGCGAAGACAGAAAATCTCAGTCATAGGACAAGGAAGCCAAATAAGGCTCAGATGTCACCGTGCCCTTTTAAAATCTACAGTTATCTAGAAAACAGCAGAAGATGGTGAAAACACACCTGTTTATTCTCTACTAACATGTTTGAAATTCAGTTCCTGTAAAAAAAAACATACGCATATTTTTAATGCTACCACACTTAGAGTAAGCATTTGCAACTCTTTAAAGTACTGTAACTGATGGAAAATATACACTTGGCTGGAATATCCTCCAAACCTTAGATGCTCACAAGAATACAACTGAAAATCTCCTGGCTTTTTAAGAACTGAAATACATCCTTTCCATTTGATATAAGAACAAAGTAGACATTGGCATTTCTGCTAGGGAGTATTACTGAATGTGAAAATCATTGTCATGCGTTGAATTTTAAACACTGAACATGAGAGTTGTTCCTAAAATCTATTCTAAGAATTCACTCTTAGTCAACATATTCTCTTGTAATTGCTTTACTATATCTGTGTCCAGGCTATTATGTTTTAAAACAATTTTCTGCTTACTTAATGGGATTGCAAGTTACATTTGCATAATAACAAACTGAGTAATTTTGAAGATGACTTAGATACAATATTAAATTATGCTAAGACTGAAAGTCTAGGTAGAGTCCTCCACTCTCCAATACTCCAGAAGAACATGCCTGAGTTGCCTTGTCTCAGTGTGCCTGCTAGTCCCTAACAGCAGTTAGCAAAGGAAAAATACTGTTCTTCATAAAAACATGAGGAATTCTTTCTGTACATATTCCAACATAAGCACAAGGTCTCAAGGCTTCTGAACTCCGTTACTACCAGTTCTACCTTTCATTTCTAGTACAGGAAAAGCTAAGCCACTATCTCCTTTATATTTCTCCTAGAAACAACTGAATCTTTTCATTTTCTCTTAACTTCTCAGTCACCTAGATGTATTTCAGCACTCTTTGCTACTTTCAACTTTATCTGTCATACTTCATGCTCTTCAAACAAGCTGTTGGAAGAAAAATAGTCAGGAATAAGAATTTGAGAACTTCAAATATTTTACATAGAAATAAATAGCAATACCAACCTCTTTCATTTTTTCCAGTTCATTCTGCAGTGCCTGTTTTGCAGTTTCAACTTCTATAAGCTGCTGTCTTAATTTTTCATTTTCATCTTCTGTTACAGTACGCTTTTCTTCTACATTCTCTAACTCATGATGAAGTCTCACTGATACATCTTTTGCAACCTAAATGTAGAGATATTTCAAAAGAAAGGGAAAAAAACCACAATTACAAGAGAATCACTGCTGAAGTGCTTAGTGTCTAAGCAGCAATTTACAAGTTAATTCTGGATGCTTTTATTGAAGTGATATGTAAAGAAACAGGTAGACAATTACATATACACATAGAATTACAAATTATTCAAAATTCAAGACAGCCCTACAAAAAAATTGAATATTGTTTCTATGGAATTTACTGGAAAGCACTGGAAGCCAACACTTTCTTAGGTTCTGTTAAATCAGCAATGAAATAATATCTTCATTATTCCTGGAGACAGTGCAGCATGCTTTCTCTCAGCCACTGCCAGCTTATTCTTTTCAATGCAGTAAAGGATATGTCCCTTAAATACTTGACATGTGGAAGTCCCAGGTTAAAAACACAGCACAATTTCTCTAGGCCTACTGTACCTGAGCATTGTAAAGGGTCAGAAATGGGAAAAACTTTATTTTCTGACTCTTCTAATTTCTCTACCCTTCATGGATAGCTAATCAAAATATATGCCATTTAGTTCATTTGCTACTGGTTAATTTAAGGAGTAAAGCATGAACAAACATTTTTACTGACCTCATACTTATTTAAATTATGTGTGATATTTTTAAATTAAGATGAACAGAAACTGATTTAGGGGGGTTTGACATTTTCTTTTTTAATTGTATTTTCACAGGAACAGAGTTAGAAGGAATGCAACAAGATCTAATTCCCTTTCTTTGTGTAAGACAATAAAAATTTTGCTATTTAAGCCATTTGCATTATATTTTGTGAAACCAGTAGCAACTACAACCACACATTAAAATATTTAAATATACACTAATCACTGCTGTGGTGATGATTTAGACTTATAATTTGAACAGGCTAATTTGATGATTTTTTTTTTTTTTTTTTTTAGAACATGAGAAAGTAAAATTAATCCTTTTTAGCATTACTTAGGGAAGCTCAGAGGGCTTTCACTGCTTACATGTCGAAGAACTCTTTTTGACATACTAAAAGACTGGGAAAAAAAATTGCAAGCAAGCAGTCTAGAAGAATCCGATCTATCAGAATACAGCAGCAGCCAGTGAGTCAGCCTCCCTCGACAAGAAACTGTGAGTGCATTACTGATACAACACTGCAGTGTAGCTCAAGACCACTCAGTAACCTCCCCCACTGCACACATACTCAAAGACACATAATGCCCAACGTTAGGAGAGAATGGAGAGGAATTTCAATGATAAGCAGAGTCCAAAGAGACTGCAGGATGAGCTGAGAATCACACCATAAGGCTGCACCCTGATGCCTTTTTCCAACAGTAACTATTAAGCTGTTCATCTGGTTGACCAAAGTAAACAGAAAATCACTGGGGACATTCTTAACAGCATCCTACCACAGTCTGCAGCTATAATTCGTATCAGCAAATACTACACAATCATTACTAAAAGTGATTTTATGCCACAAAATTTGGTGGAGTGGCAGTTAAAGCAGGTAGATAATAAAGACATTCTAGATCACCTGGAAATTTGAATTCACTTATGCAAGATACATTTTAATACAGCTATATGAAAGACTATACCTCTGAAGAACTAAGTCCCCTAATGTAATATACTTGTAAAATGGAGAATGTTATTTTAGATAGAAATTCTTCAGAAGCAAACTCGGAAAGACTACAAAGAATGGTGCATGAGTTACAAGCATGGGTATCCAGAACCAGGATTTCAGTTTGGCAGATATATGGCATTTGACAGCCATCCCTACCCAAAGTAGAATACAACCACGACCTGAGGGAAAGCTTAGTGAAAATATCATTCTTTTCTAAGCAGTCAGTTGTGTAATCATTAGGAAAGACATGGGAGAAGTCTTAATTGAAAAGAGCCCTTTGTTCAGATTAAACTGTGGCCTTTGGATCTCCTGCAACCGCAGGTAAGCACCAAACTACAGGGTCAATTTCCCTCCCAGCCGCTGCTTTCCCCGTGTATACAAAGTAGTATTGAACCTACTCTTTGTTTCTTTAGCCAGCACAGGAAGCTGGGATCACCCATTCAATCTGTAAGGGAAGATTCATATTCTGCTTACCAAAGTGTCTCAGCCATTCCCCTAAACACAATTTTGACCATGCAAAATGTCTTTTGCTTTGATCAGAATTCTCACTTGACCCCGGAGAAAGAGGCATAAAAAGCAAACAAACAAAAGAAAAGCATTTCCACCAGTTTTGTTCCTGACCAGGAAGACACCAGTTTGTCCAGAGCCACGTGACAGCTAGGTACAGAATTGTTGCGGCCAAAACAGCAAATGTAGCTTTTGGATACGCACAGAAAAGGAATATCAATAAACACCAAAAAGGAAATTATCATTTTAAATGGCATTAGTAAGAAAATTACTGGAATGTGTCCTGGTCTGGTGTCTATGTTTTAATAAGAATGATAAGCCGGAAATTTTTCAGAAAAGATGATCCAAGTCTGAATAACGGGACTGGGAACAACAGACTCTCAATCCATCACACTTATCAGAAGTTTAGCAATTGTCTATTCACGTCATGTATTAAATTAGCATTTCCAGCTGCAGTCCACAGAATCCAAAATGGCTAGCTAGTACTTGGGAGGAGGATGGTCTGTGAATTTCAGTTTGCTACACAGAGATTTGCGGTTCCTTGAGAAATGGCTGGGAGATCCTTCAATTGACAAATGTTCTGAAGTGTTGACTTGGGAACAGCCTTAACAAAATCTAGAGCGTGGATGCAAAAATTAAACAGCTTCCAACTAGCACAAGTTCCTCTAATTGGAGCAATCTAGAACAGAGATTATATTATTGACTAACATTAGTATTTAAACAAATGCTGAAATTTCTCAGCAATGGGCTGTGGTTCATTCAAATGTCATGGACTAAATATAGGTGATTAGACATGGAAATTTGATGGGCTGTGTCTACTGTTTCTCATGGATGTGGAAAATCCTGACTTTGCTGAAGGTCCACTGACGCCAGCAGAATCAGGATTTTGAGGTTGCAACTGCAAGCATTCAGTTTAACAGCCCTTTGTGATCTTCACCAAAGAGAACACTGATCTCGTAAAAGTCAGTGGGGCTGTTCATCAGTGAGGTTGGTTTAATTGTGGAGTGGGAGAATATGGCCTGTGTTCAACATAAAAGACCCAAACCTCCAGACTCCAACTGGGATTTAAGTCACTTTTTGCACAGTAACTTCACAAAACACAACTGGACTAAAACTGCAAACAGTCTGCCTGTGGAGCCTCACCACAGAGCTGCTTGCTGGAGATCTCCCATTACTAGTTAAGCTGCAACCCTACGTGCGGCACAGTGTACGACAGAATGGATGATAACATGAGAGTCACGAGGCCTGAAGAGCAACACGTGCCTCTACCTCCAGTGCTCTGTCTCACCAAGGCCGCTCACGCCCGTACCTTGAGGTCCTGCTCCATGCTGCGCAGCAGCTCACCATCGATCTCACCAGTCTGTGCATAGCGGAGCCTCTTGCGCTCGGCCTTGCGCAGCCGGTACTGGAGGATCCGGCAGTTCTTGTTGGCTCTCTCCAGCTCGTGGCGCATTTCTTGAAGCTGACAAGCGTCCTCCTCGAAGAAGCTGTCCCTCATCTCATCCATCTCAGTCCTCAGCTCATCTATCTCGTTCTGACACCAGGCCGAGAAGGGGTGGGGACACCAACAGGTGGGTCAGAAACAGAGGTCAGCAAGGGTAGGGGAAGGCACCCAGAGGGAGGTCGGAGACGGCCTTCTCCCCACAGGGATCCGCCTAGCTTATTAAAAACACCGCAACAAGAGAAGGAAGCGGTGCTGCCCGCGCACGCCGCGCCGAGGCCATTTTCCCTCCGCCCCAAAAGCCTCCCGGGCGGCAGGGAACCCCTCCCGGCTCCCCCAGCCCCATCTCCGGCTCCCCACCGCGTCCCCTCACCTTGAGGCTCTCGTTCTCCTCCCGCAGCTTCTCCATTTCCTCTTGCATCTCGTCCTGCGGCTGCGGGCTCAGTGAACCCTCGGGTGTGCCGTTCCTGCAGCCCGCCTCGCCCTGCCGCAGCCCCTCGGCCCCGGCCGCCGCCATGGCAGAGGGCGAGGAGGCGGGGGCTGCCGAGGGAGGCTCGGCCGAGGCGGCGGCCGCGGAGGCGGCGGCGGCGGCAGCAACAGCACCGGCGCTGTGGTTGTTGCCCTTGGTTTGCATCTGAGCGGCCGCCGCCAGCCCCTTCCTGAGGTGGAACTGGATGAGCTCACTCTGCAGGCATCCCTCCTTCCAGTACCCGCCGCCGCCCGCCGCCCCGCGGCCCTTCCCCGCGACCGCGGAAGATGGAGGCGCGGGGGCCGCCTCCCCCGCGCCCTTCGGCGGAGCCCGCCCCGCTTTCCCCCGCCACTGCCTGGGCGGCGGCGCCACCGCCCCCTCGCGCTCCCCCGCGCCGCTTCCCGCAGGGGGCGCCTCCTCGGCGGGCTCTTCGGCCGCGGCCCTCCCGCCGGCAGCGAGCGGCGCTTCAGCACCGGCGCCGGGATGGACAGCTCCCGGCGAGGCCGCACTCCGCGGCTGTTTCTCGGCGGCGCGACCGCGGGGGGCCCTGGTGGACTGGCCCGGCGGCGGCCGCGCGGTCCCGGTCTTCAGGGCGGAGGCGGCGGCGGGCGGGGCGCGGGAGGCGGCGGCGGCGGCTGCGGGGGGCGGCGGCCGCGCGGCGGCGTCGCGGGCTCTGGCCGGGGAGGAGGCTCGCTGCTGCTTCCTGCCGCTGCTGCCCTCGGGATGGAGGCGAGGCTCGGCGGCGGCGCCCCCTGCGGGCGGTTGGCTCATGGCGACGGCTATCGGCGGAAGGTGGCCATCCCTCTAGTCGTCTTTGGCGCTGCCGGCTGGGGAAGAGAAGCGGAGAAGACGATCGGGCTAGTGGGGGCGCGGTGAAGGCGAGCAGAAGCTGCCCAGCAACCAGCTCGCCTCGCCCGGCGTGTTGCCAGTCGGCCCCGCGGGCGCAGCGATGACCGAGGCCGAAAGCCACAACTTGGGTCCGAGGGGCTCCAAAGGGCTGAGACTGAGAACTGTTCCCTCTCCTCTTTCACCAATTGCTGTTTTCCTCCTCTGAGCCAAACCTATTCCTATACGTGCTGCCATACCACAGCTGTATTTGAATCCACACACCCCCCATTTCCTCATGCTCTTCTTCACTGCCTATTGTAGTACCAGCTCAGATTGCTGCTACATCCCTCTGCCTGCCTTCGGGCACCTGTCAGTGGGCCAGGCTGCTTCACAAACAGCTGCAGGTGATAGTGGCAGCTCACTGTTCTTTGGCCTTAGCAGGAGTTCTGCCAGGGCAAGGCCAGGCCTCCAGAGCACACCAACTAAGAGTCCTGGAAGAAAAGAGTCCCTGAACCAACTTTTAAGCCCATCTGAGTTTGATACTGGTTATACTGAAACAGGAGTGAGGCATAATCACTCCAGCAGATTTTTAAAGCTCAAGCAGTGAGGAATACACCCCAGCCCAACAGTAGTCATTACACAGCATTCACTTGAGTGTGCAAGGATGGCAGTTTTGCCACAGAGCGACTGAACCAGAGTTTTCGTGACCACAACAGATGACCAAAATCGGCCGCATTCCTTAATGCACTCCAAAAATATTAGCTATGATAAATCAACTGTTTTTACATAGTCTTTGTTCAACTGCCCTTAAAGGGAAAACACAGGCCAAAGTAGAAGTGACAGCATCCATAACACAGCCTAATGATCCCACCTAGACCACTGCAGGGTAAGGAATAAAGAAATCAAACCAGGCAAAGTCAGAGTAGACCTTATGCTGCACCCTGACAATTGCTTTGCTCTCTGGAACACACCAGGCACCAACTCTACTCCATGCTCCGGGGCAATGGCTCCGATTTCTGCCAAATGCACTGTCATTATACCTCTCATTTTAACCAATATGCTTAAAACTAACTCTCTCTTTCAAATAATACTAAAAATAAAATAAAATATATTTTAAAAGATAAAAATTGGTGAATCTTCCCAGACATTAAATAGTAAAGAGATAGAATGGGAGTGTAAACTGACCAACAGTCACGCATGCACAGTGCTATACAAAAGGTTTGCTTCATTTCTCTATTATTCATAATAATTGCTGCTGTTCAGAGCTGTAAGGTACCAAATATCGCTCTTGAAAACCAGAAACCCCTACGGAAGCTGAAAGAAGTCAGAACAGGACTTGGCTTAGATCCCATATTCTCCTGAGCACTCTGACTCTACCTTACCATCTTCATGCCTCCAGTTTCAGGGTTGGCTACTGCCTACAGTTTGCTTGGCTGTGGCTTGGAGTTTTTCTGTTTTTTTTTTTGTTTGTTTGTTTGTTTTTGTTTTTTTGTTTTTTTTGTTTTTTTGTTTTGTTTGTTTGTTTTTCCCTTTTTTTTTCTTTTTTTTTCTTTGTTAACAGCATAATGAAGGCCCCATTTGAGCCCAAGTCCAAATCCCATGTCTCAAATAAAAGCCCCTCCATACAATCTTCCCTCCAAGACAAATCCACGTGGCGGTACGACACTGCATCTCCATAGGTTTTTCCATTGGGAACAAGAAAAATGCTCGACGAAAAGCAGCAACAAAAGGCTCCACCCGCAGCGTCGGGATGCGGCGCAGGGCATCCCTCTGCCCGCTACTCCGCGGGACTCCGGACCCCGCCCGCCTTTTGTCCCGATTCTAGGGGCGAGGGAGGCTTTTCTCAGCTCCCCACTTCCACCCGGCGGTTTTGTTGGACCAGAACATTGAGTAAGATCCCCCCTCCCTTTCTCCATATATATATTTTTTTTTCTCTCTCCAAAGAGAAGAAAGAAAGAGAGGCTCGAGCCTCCAGCAGCCGCATTACTCACCGTCGCTCTGTCCGCTGCCCGGCTGTTGAAACGCGTGCACGGAGAGGCGGGCACCGCACCCGGGGTACCCGGAGCTGCTACAGCCTCTGAGGAAAATGAAGCAATATTCATGAGCTGACCTCACCAGGCCTGGGAGACGGAACGGGGGGAGGGAGGAGAACGGCAAAGGGACGCGAAAAGAAAAGATTAAACGGCAAGAACCCCGCCCAGGCCTGGAGACGAGTTGCGTCTCCTTATCTGTCTGCACATGGTGGAATTGGATTACAGAACAAATGGGGGAAGGAGCAGGCTGCTTGCGGGAGATGCGGCCGCTTTCTCTTCCCAGTCCATCCCGGCAATCGATTCCGATCTATTATTTAATGTCCCCATCGGGGAGCTGGCTTGGAGCAGCCGGAGATGCCAGGCTTCTCCTACATCGGGGTAATAGGATTTCCCTTTGTTCGCTTCCTGTATCTGCGCTTGGAGTCAGCGATCGCTCCACGCGTCCTGTTGACAAAAGCCTGGGGAAAGCTGGGAAAGGGAGAAACAAAAGCAAACCGCGGTGGTCTATTGAAGATAATCACCCGGTGCTGTCTGTTCGCGTGACGGTAGGACTAACGCACCACTGGCCGCATGCTGCGGGCAAAACTCAACCACGTCCGTCTGTTTCACCTAAAGAAGCTACACCTGTTCGTCTTGTCACCAGGTGAATTTGCTTTAGATGGTCTGACACACTTTGCACCTACATCCACTCCCGATTACAAACAGAAGCCAAAAAAAAAAAAAAAAAAAAAAAAAAAAAGCTTTCCTTCCTCTCCTCACCTTTTCACTGGAGGAAGGTAACATTGGTGGCCGAGGGTTTTCCCCGTCTGACAGCCGCGTGTGGGAGTGCCCAGTCCCAGCCCTGTGTAGCATTCCTAGCTGGTCTCTGAGCTGCAAGTTCCTCCCCTTTAAAAGAGGATTTCCAACCTATAGATGTAGATATACACATAAATATGTGCATACTTCTATATACACAGTACATATACAAAAATATTGTATATATATATAACATGTAAGCTTATGCATACACACTTGTATATGCATACACACATGTACAGCACACACAAAGAAGTATATGTGTATATATACTTATACATGGTATGTGTATTTCTATATATATACCTGTATACTTAACTGTAAGGTCTGTATTTTGGAGTTGGGGGAGGGCAATCTGAAGGGAAACAGCTACATTCTTTCTATTGTCTTTGCCCCATCTCTTTAAAAAAAAAAAAAAAAAAAAAAAAAAAACAAAAACACACAACCAACCACATCTTAATCATCACATCCTGAGATATGGAAAGGTGTACTCCCTATCTCCATGGCCTCCAGTCTTGAGCCCAGGGACTACATGATGTGGACTTACATAGATGTGACGAGTTGAGTGCAATAAAAAACAAGATGTGAAAGATCTGTGCTGAAGGATATGTCTCATTTGAAACCCATCATGAATATCGATTGCAGTCATATGCACTAACCAACCAACATGATTGGTTGAAACACAAGGAACAAAAGTACAGAACAGCTCCCTAATCAGAACTGAGAAACGCAACATGTTGTAGTTTTCCAGATAAATTTACTGATAGATCCTGAAAGAACTGGGATTACACGCAGTAAAGCAGTATAAATAGTAGGTGGTCCTACTGTATTTTATTGGTCTGTTACTCCCAAAGTTTCATAGCATTGCCCCTGACATGGCTTACTGGGCACACTGGTGACAGATGGTTGAGCTAGCTGCTCTCAGTGATCTTTTCCAACCTTCATGATATTATGAGATGGCTTGATGGTTGGACTAGATAATCTCAGTGGTCCTTTCCAACCTTCTTGATTGTATGACTCTATAGAAGTCTGGACTCTTTGTCTCCGTAAATGTTAGTAATGACAGAGTACACAGGGTAATGGTGATGAAGCCATCACAACAACACAACACTTTGTCTATACAATTGCCGTAAGGAAGTGCACAGCAGTTCCTACCTTCAAGCACAGAGCAGGAGGTAACATCCTTTCTGCCCCCTCCATATTGTCTGGATGTACTTCTCTGTGGTTAAATAAAAATGGGATCCAATACCTTCCCATGATGCTTACAGTAAGTTTTACTGCACAGTTGGAAAAATGCAGATCC